ATACATAAATACGAAAAAACCTATAAAACCCTGTAGTCTTGTTCGGGTCAGGCAGGGTTTTGAAAAATAGGTCCGAATATTTTTTGGATCGGGTCGGGCCGGACTTATGTATAGACGGACTTTACGGGTTTTGGACCGGCCGGGCCTGGCGTCGTTTGACATGCCTATACATTCGTCTTCTTCTTTGCGATACAGTTCGGGTTTTGCTTGCTGGAGATTCTGGAAAAATCCTGCATCATAATCGATTCCTGTTCTTGATCTATCGATCGATTCATACACATGTACGTATATGATAATCATATCCCCTTCTTTCGACTCCATTAATATCTTCAATTTTGATTTCAAGCTTTTTTTGTTTCTGATCAGGAAACACTCGGTGAATCGGCCTCCTACGCCTGATGAAGAAGATGTTTCGGAAGATTTCGAGAAAGACGAGCTCACGCTTCGAGAAATCATCAACATCAAGGTTTCCGATTTTAATCTCCGAATTCGATTTTTCTTTTGGCAAGTCATATAAAACAAAAAAAAATGGAATTTTGAATGGAAAATTTTCAATGGTCTCTAGTTGGTAGAGAGCGGAGAGAAGGAGAATCTGATGGAGCTCGTGAGAGATAGATTGGTGGAGTCTGGTTGGAAAGATGAGATGAGAATTGCTTGCAGGTTCTTTTTTTTTTTTTTTACACTTTTTGACCTCAAAAGTTCGTTCATTCGATTGAAAAAAAAAAACATCCTTGATTCAGTTCAATTCTTGAATTTGGTAGTTGTTACTATTAGGGTTTGGTTACAGATTCTAAGGAGAAGTGGGAATCTTGATATTAGATATTGCTTATGATTGGTTTTTCTATGGTGGGAGGTTTAAGTGTTCTGAAATTTGTTGGTGAAAACTGATAAGCAAAGAACTCAAAATTTATTTTGTTCTGTGGACTGAGTTGAATTAACAAGTGAACTACCATTGCCTAAGAAGTTGGTTTTAAAGCTTACAGTTGAAGCTCTCTTTTTGATTGTAGGGAGCATGTAAAGAAGAAAGGGAGGAAAAATGTTACGGTCGATGAACTGATCCGAGTGATCACTCCAAAAGGCAGAGGTAAAACATGAAAGTGGAACACAGAAATCAGTTTCTGTATCGATCAATAGCTAGATGTGTTAGTTAAGCTTGAATTTGTTTCTATGCAGCTTCAGTACCAGATTATGTCAAGGAAGAACTGTTGAACAGAATTCAAAACTTCATTGTATCAGCTGCTCTTTGATTGTGTTTGTTTGCTACGAAGATGATGATTTTGTCTCTATGGTGGTTGTGGTGGGTTTTATACATGTAGCCAACACTAAAACCACATAGAGAAAGCGGTAGATTTTACCAACGTATCATCTTTGCTGTTGTAGAGTAAGCAGCTTTCCTTATTTCAAATCCTTTTTGTATCAATAATGGCTTTCTGATCAAACATGGTACAAAATATATGAAAATGTAAAAGTTAAATGAAACCATGGATTGCTACAACCATTTCGATATTATTTTCGAGGAAATTGTTCTTTATAATGTTCTACAAGATACTACCAATTACCAAGTTGATTCATTGTATCTTGGGTATTAGAAAACCAAACCGGTTTAGCTCTACAAGAAACTACCAAGTTAGATTCGATAGTCAGACGCATAAAAGTTAAACTTGTCATTTAGGACCATTTTTTACCCTTACACAAGCAAAACACAAACAGTAGCTCATATCATTTTTTTTTCCCTGGCTCTGTTCTCTTTCCCTATATATATTCTTCTACATAAATCTTTGTTTCAAAGAGTTATCAAATCTCT